TGGGGTTTTTTTTTATGGGGAGTCACTGAGTGAAGGTGTGCGTCTTTCTCACTTTTATCCTTTCGCCCACGCTCCTAGAAAGGCCACTTTCCATGTCGGCTCCAGACCCTGAGGTCTGTCAATGCACGTGACCTGGTTTAAAGTCTAAGTCAAGAGCAGAAAAATCTGCACTGCTTAAGATCCTGCTACACCCAAACTTTAAGCTCCTTTTGTTGTTGTTTTTGAATGCTCAAGTGTCTGGCAGTGCGAGCAGGTTCTTTTATTTAGAGCCAGCGACCCAGAATGCGGTGATCTGAGGAGGGCTTACAGTGGGCCTTTGTTCCTTTCTTCTATTCTGGGAATCGTACGCATTGTACTCCTTGAGCACTCCACAAATGCTCCATGGTAATCAGCACTGCCTCTGAATATCCACAAGAGAGGTGAAAGTAGAATCAATCCATCTCTGCTCTGTATGCTGCGCTCTCTTCTAAAGCTTTAACTCCTGCTCTAGGAGACTAGAAGCAATTCTTCCTTGACAGCATGTGTACCAACCTGTACCCTGATCTTTAGATGCATTAGCCAGTTCCTTAATGCAAATACACGCATTTCCTTGAGTGCCTGCTGCCTGAAAATTGAAAATGAATCATTGATGAGGAACTTTATCAGAAGCCTTTTTAAAATCTAAATATATCACATGCACCTTTTCTGTCCATTACAGCTGTTACCTGTTCAAGCAGTGCTCACAAGTCATGTCTTGCATTAGTCGTGTATTGTAGCTTTTGCTGTTTGAGCCTCAGGATCCCCCCATGCATGTAAAGAATGACTGCTTAAATAAGCTACCAAACGTCATCTCCATCGCATGGAGAGTTTTAATTTTAATTGGAGCAGAAAATGTAACAAACCATTATGCATTGTGACACCTTTTTTTGTAGTTGCAGCTGACCCACATTTTAGTTCTGGGATTGTCACCTCTGGTGCTTCCATTCCATTGCAAATCTTTGTTCCAGCTAAATCCTTACTTTTTGGAAGTGATCTTTAGCACTTGGGTTAATGAAGCAATTAAGGGTCAAGATGGTTATTTGTTTATTGGAACTTCCCAAATTCTGGAATGAAAGCGCCAAGGTTAAGGCAGATCTGAACAGGGAGGTTGAGTCCCCCTCGACATTGCTGTTGCTGCCAGTGATGTTCAGGGCTTTGACACTAAGGGCAGAGTCTGTTCTATTCTCTGCTCAGCATTTTCTCTCTTGCTTTTAGTCCAGAGGGAACCGACCTCATTTTATGGTGGAATGAATGCTATGGTTTGAGAGCTGATGCCTAAAATAACAAAGAATTTCTCAAAACTTAGTTATGTCATTGGCTTAGCAACTACCTTTATATTACTTGTTATGGTGGTGAAGATATATACAGACACTCAGGAGGTTAGCTGTGTCTGTAATAGCCAGGCTTTCAAGACCGTGTCAGTGCTCATGAAGACAAACACCTAAGTGCTATGCCTTGGAGAAGATCAGGAGGAACCCCCAAAAGCAGGAACATGTCCACTCTTTGCACCTTTGGCATTTCTGTGAGATCTGCTACCAGAGGCTAGAAGTCCAGTGGAAATTTTTGTCATCTGCTGCAACTGAGCTGATTATTTTTGCTTATTTTCCAAGTCTGAGTTTCTACATTTTCATGAAGCCACTTGTGGGTCTGACCCGTGGAGCAGTGGTCAAGATCAGACAGAAGCCCACAACCACTGCAGGCTGCTAGGACAGCGGGGCCTCTGTAAAGTCTGGCCTGCACAGTCTGTACCGTCTCTGCGTGCTGGAATTGCAAATATGACTCGTGTGCCGGAAGAGTGCGTAAACAGCATCTCCTCAGACAGGGCTTGCTCTGTCTTGAGGTTAGGGCCTGACGCGTGAGATCTATTTCGGTACGCGCGGCCGTGCCCACCCCAGGGGCTCGGGAGACAGGGAAGGACGTTAGAATCGAGCGCCTGCAGCCGCTGTCCCTCCTTGGAGGAGTGGCATTCCGCCAGCCAGTCACCTGCTCCGCTCCGGCTGCAGCCTGGGACGACCTGTCCTCTGAAGGTGGGACGCAGGTGTGTCCGGGAGTGGGGCTCCAGTCCTTCCCCAGCACCGCGGCGAGCGGGACTCGTGGAGGACCGCGGTCCAGCAGCTTTTATCGGTTTTCATATCTTTCACATGGCTAGCTGCTTTAATGATTTGTTAAATTCTCTGCTCCAGTTAAACTTAAAACTCTCCATGTAATGGAGGTGCCGTTCGGTAGTGTATTTAAACCTGTCATTCTGTCCATGCATGGGAAGGTCCTTCATATTTCAACTGATACACACACACACAGCAAAAGCTATAATAATAGACATGACTTGTGAGCACTCCTTGAACAAGACTTGGACAGGTTGTTAATTTGTTCAGCTGAGAAAAGTAACCAGTTCCTTTAATGAAGGCTTATTTGTTGCATTTAACTTTCCTTCTGAGAGGACCTGAAAGAAGTTTCGTAACTCCTGTTAACTTTGCATCCACATCTTCAAGCCTTCTCGTACAATTTTAAATAGCTGTGAGCTGAATCAGTGATCAAATCGCATGAGTTCAAGAAGAACTGACGCTGGAGTGAAGTTCAGGCGATTGTCTGGCCCTGGTGTCCTGGAGTTTGAGCCCCCTGGTTTGGAGGTCAAGTGGAACAAAATCTAGAGGGGTCCACAGCCCTTTTATCCACAGAGTAGCATTGGGAGGGC